TAAATTGTCTTTGATCAAATTAACTTTCACCTCTTTCCCGTTTTGAAAGCAAATTTCGGGCTTTTTTAAAACTGATTCTGCTCACCCATCATAAGTACCATACGTTGATACTTGCCTTATCTCTGAGGAAGTTCGATCCATTTACACCCATAATTAACCACCACAGTTCTAATGAACGTATCGAAGAACAACTTATTACGAATAATCTCGCGGGCATTTATAAAATACTGCTCTCTTAGTACAGTACATTAGTAAACCATATATTTACTCCAACCTCAATATTCCCTTTTTCAAATCTGGCAACTCAGAATGCCGAAAACGTTCATGTAGTCAGATCGATATGCACAACCAAATCAGTGACGAGAAAATTCTAGCAGGTACCCAGTGTTTGGGCGATTGAAGCTAAATTATATCACTGTTAATTTCAGTCTATCTATTGATAACTTGGTAAATACCAGTCAGTATGGTAGTTTGAAACTATGAGTCGTATCACCCTGCATCCTCTTGCGTAGTATACTTTGCTCGTTGAGCTCAAATGAGATCGTCCAATGAGAACCGCATTCTGGAATAAAAAATCTATTCATTCATTTGGCTTCGTAGGGAAACTTATACAAGTCATCGATTCATGTGCACTGCAAACCTAACTTCTGATACTAATCAAGCTTTCTCTTTAAGCTGCTCCACCCCCCCCTATCCCGTCACTCTCAACGGGAATGTGTGTAGTGGTTTTTTGCCAACCAATCCAGAGAACAAAGAAGGGTTATTGAAGTATCGCAGTTTGTGGATGCGTGTGTGCGCTCGCGCGTTTGTGAGTGCGTGCATGTTTGCGTGTTGATAATTGCAAATGATCTATGTGTCTCTGTTTTCGCAAAGGGAAACAGGTTAATCGGACCCGAGCAACCAGTGCACGAGAGAGAGAGAGAGCGTAATGAGGTTGACTTTGGTGTGCATAGGAGAAGGAGCAAGGGAAATTTCAGATTTACGCAATACTTTCTTTGCTAGTATTCATATTGGCGGACCCCGGGATCCGGAGGCCGTCAGTCACTCAGCTGAACCAACTGGCCTTCTGCTCATTTGTCAGTGTCACTAAATGATTTACGCACGTGGGCATATCCAGCGGTAAAACGAATGGCCTGATACGGTTCTCCAAATCCCAGTTGCGTGCGTCCTTTCCCCTCGGTGGTGCTTTTTATACGGGAATCCGAAATTGATGTGAGTGAGTGGTTAATCTTATTTTTCGCTTGAGCGATGGTTCACTCACTCTCTCTCTCTCGAGTTCAGACAGAGAAAGTAAATGTGACCAAAATTTGGAGCATACAGCTTCATTTCTGTCTCACAATTTGACTAACTTACCAGTTACACATAGTCACAAATGAATATTGCAAGGTGTGTACGAGAATCTCCCAGAAGCAGAAAAATTAAGGCCAGGGGTGGGTTCGCCGGAGGGTAAGGAATAATGGAAGTGAGGGAGTCAGTGAACACGGTTAGCTAAGAGGCATCGATAGGACAAGTACGGTCATCTATTTGGACATTAGTACTTATTGTCCACAGCGCCAAAAATGTATACATAATTAATGCAAAAATACTTGACCACTACACAAGCTCACCTTTGACATTTGTCAATAGGCAATGCAACCAATGGAGGCAGATTTCTCTCGGACTGCTCATCTACAGCTGGTTGATAATCTGCGTGTACAAAACTAAATCATAAATAAGTTTACTGGAATATATGCTGGTCCTTATTGGTTTTTAATCGTCATTCGTATAAAAATAGTGCCAGAACGCACTGCTGAACAGCTATAAAAGAATCACATTGTCGAGAGTCCACGATATCTGATTATTTTCCAGGCTATTAAAGGTTTTTAGAAACACAATTAATAATATCACACAAGCAGTTCCATATTAATCTGCTTGACAGGGTTTAATTTAATTTATCTATCATATGCTCGGATGATAGACAACGCTCTTGATTGGTTTGCGTCAGCACATACCACTTGGAAAAGAATCCATCCACCCAACGAAAGGCCGAAACCCAACACGTCGTACTAATTTTTGTAATGGTGTATACGATCGTTCCATACCTGATTCTATGTTAACCATTCTGGGAGTTTTTGATGTTTGAAACTTAAAACCAGTGCAACAGTTTCATCCTCCGCTTATTAGCTGTTCTGATGACAACGGTTGTTATCACCTCATAAGTTCTTTTTCATTATTCCCTCGATTTAGATTCACAAATTTGTGAAACTATATCTCTAATCAAATTATTCATTCACATGTAAATGTATTCGCTTCAGCAAATCTTAGACAATCGGCTCATTTATTAGGAGTCCCTCTTGTATTTTGAATACTTTTTTTAGAGTGACACATATCTAAACCTGCTCGCTCTCTCGTCCCTTCTTATGGATTTTAGGAGGATAAATGTAAAAGATTAAGATCACTATCTATCTATTCAGATATATATATACTCGGTTTGGAATGAAGCCGGTTTCCTTAGATTGAAGTCATATACTTAATTCTGATAAATAAATTTGGAACGAGAAAAACACTTATTTACATAACCATATTGCACACAAATCCATCTCTATCTCAATACAAACTTCTTATCTGCATTTGATTAAATTTAGTGAATAATTACTAATCCCATCTGATGAATTTGTGTGATCCTCCCAAAAAGTCTTTTTTCATTCCGTTAGTCTCTCATTTTAGAAGACTGTTCTCCTAATAATTTCGTTTCCATGAATCCTATTCTTTTAAATTTGGATTTAGGGGCTTTGTGGATACATATATCTTTTGCTGAGATCAGGAAGTTTGAATGATTCTACCTATTAATTTGACGATGGAAAACAAAGACTGACTATCATAAATTACTAAAGCAACAATGCTTTGGTCAAGCCCGAATTAATTCAGGAAAACTTTGTGGGAATCGAATGCGTCAAATTGACCAGAAATAAGTAGAAGTAAAACAATAAATCGGCAATTAACCTGAAATATAGTACTACTGTGCAATCAGCATTCTAATCTATTCGTTCTCAACGTGAATCGACCAACTTCTGGTCAGAATGACTGCAGGTTTCCTTGGCACAGAACCAACGAGGGGATCCATGTTCAGCTGGGAAGCGCGCATTTCGTGCAGTGGACCGTGATTCCAATCTTATTTCTTTGGAACGGACTAGAGTTGAAAAATGTGTCAGGTAATACTATATTAGTCTTACTATAGTTTAACAATAGTAACTGAGAGTTCATCTGTCTCTTTTTGGGGGGGGGCGGGTGAAATGGGCATACGAAGAGAGATGACTGTTCGAAGCACTCAAGGAATAAGTAATATATATTCAATTTATTACAGTAAATGAGCAATGGTAAGCCTTGCTATTGAGAAAAAATAGCAAGTGATATATCCTTACCTTCTGACTCAGTGGCGTTTTCACCACAAAAGTATCAGTTATGAGAGGGTAATTGGTTTTACCGAATTTGCTTGATTCGTTCCGCAGTGATTTGATTTATTTCGGTTACATAAAATGATGGAAGAATCTTTTACACATGCGTTTGGTTTGCAAATATGGTGAGGTCGATCTGCTTAAGGATAAGTAGAAAATTTGAGCAGCGAATTAATGCTCGAAAACCCAAACTACGAGACAATGGGTTGATAGTTTCGAACATGACTGCCAGAATAGGAAAAGCAAACAGCCAAACTTTGCATAATGTTCGGCAAAAGGATGTCAGAATTATTTAGATTTCAGAGATACAAATCCTCGGCTTCAACCATCCCAACTTTTTTGTTCCAATAGTTTATCTTTTACATCCTCGTTAATTCATTAAGTTTCCTTGATTCTTTAACTGCTGCTTAAGAAAGTGTGTTTACCATCTTCCTTGGGATGATCCTACTGGTAAATCAATGTTCCGAATGGAAAGATTTTGTTTACATGATTCGATAATCATAGCGCGATTCCTCACACCGGACTGAGAGAAAAATGCCTATCTCTGATTGAAAGAAATTTGAAAATATTAAAGTATGTAATTAATAAGTTGTTTGAAAATATCAAGAGAACGATTCACGGAAGTATTTTAGGCCACCCAATTGGAATCTCTTCTTCTTGAATGTCCGTTCTTTTTATGTAGAATTAATCAATCAGCTTGTAGCACAATCAGTAATTGCAAATCATCATCGTTTATACGAAGATCATTTTCTTTCCACTTTCCGCTTCCTTTCGATTTTATCGTTTGCCTAAAAACACAAGTCGGATTCACCAGCAAATCATATCATCTTTGACAGTCACTGAAGATGATTCCCTCATTTGAGTTTTACATCACTGTTATATTTATGGTTTTGAGTACTTCGGAAAACAGACAGGAAAACGAACAAATAAAAGCCACAATCAGTTGAAATAATCATAATTTTTTTGAACTTGAGGGCTGTCCATAAAACGGAACAACGGAATTCGGGACGCATTTTGATTTTTCACGACGCTCTTCTCCACAGTGTCCTGCTGAACGATTTCACAATTGTTAATCGAATCGCTCAATCTCATCTACTTGCACCATGTACAAATCTACGCAAGCAGTTTACATCACATCGTTGCCCGAAAGAATATCTGTCGAGCTGATACACGCGGAATAGAAATGAATTGATCAACCCACAAAGCCAGATGGTCGACCCTAAATTCTGTTCACAGTAAAACCAAAATGAGTTGCGAAATTAATTGATCTTCAAAAAATGTCACGAGATACCTAAACATTTCCAGCGAGAACTGAACACGATCACATGTTATTTATTACCTGTTAAAATTTCAAACGTTTATTAGCCGCAGTCACTAAAGCTAAGGGTGCTGTTATAGATCCAAATGGATTATTCTTTCATTCCCGACCTTCTTTCATTTTTTTTTTGTTTATTCTTTTATAGACCTTTGGCTTAAATGTCAGAAAACGGTGGTTGAATCGGAGGACGTTGGATACATCTGAATATCCACTCATTTGGTTGCATTGTACCAATTCAATTTACTCCAATGCGATTTGTCATACTGGTTCCATTCTTTTTGTGCAGTGTGGATGTGGTCATTGTATCGGAGGGTCCTGGGGATAAACTTGGTATGTCATAAAAGAGGTTTAGTTTATTTCAACGAAAACATTTTGTTTCATCCCTACATTTTTTGCTGATACCTATGACAAAGCATTATTTTCTTTTTGTGTTTGCCTAGGTAAAACAGTGACTGTTTCAGGATTTGCTCAAGAACCGTTTTTACTAGGGCATATCTTTTATAAGGCAGAATTGAGATTTAACCCTTGAGACTGCGGATTGAAAGATTTGCTCACGAAATTTGAAACCATACCAGTCGTGTAAGTTGTAATGTTAGGAATTTGTAGTAACAAACTTTGGCTTGATCCATGTTGACAGTCTTGTGTTTAGCATTTTGACCGTTTTGCATTGTTAGTAAATGAATTACGCGATGAATGCCAGATTCAGTTGCTATGAGACTACTGACTTCAAATTATCAACTTTAACCCACATATGCATTTTATTAACTCGGTTATTTGAACAACAGATGTCCAATTCCTGTCAATGATGATCGATGATGTCAAGTGATGGCATATGATATGGAACCATCAAGTGCAAGGAATCTATTGGAACGATACATAAACTGAATTTCTAGGCTTTGCTTTTTTTACAGCTTCGCTGCTTATAATCATTTTCTACCTCAAAACCGCAGTGACTTAGCAATACGGATGTCGTGTATTCTCTTACCTTTCATGCATAACAGAAACGTCTACTGTCCCAATATTTGCCACGGTCAGAAAGTACAACTCATTCTGGTTGATGTGTTTTTATTCATTTCCTGGTGTGAAAGGAGAAACTTGAATTCCATACGACATAATTGCTTCTGGAAGATTGGGAGGTAGGTTTGAATGTATGAAAAATATTCCGCTAGCTGGGAACTGAAAAACAGATGACTGCATTTCGCAAGGAAGGATACTTACTGTGCAATCTGCAATGTCTTTACCAAAACACTGAACTTAACAGAAACACTGAAATAACGTTTTTATATTTACACGTATCCGATTTTTTTGTTTTGTATGTTTCATTTAATGTTGATTGGTTACTTAGTTGGCTGGATGACCAGTATGTCATGTAACAACTTGCTTTCAACTGAAACTCTGAATGTGGACCCGAATTTGTTGAGACCGTTGAAAGTTTGGTTTACTCGTATACATTTAAAAATTATGGATATTTCATTTACCGTTGTATTTACTTTATAAATTGCACTACTGTTGCATATCATAGACAATGTGTACACGATAATCAACAGATCAATGGGAATTCAATGGCATTGCCCGGCATTAACCATCAATCTTTGCCTTTCTTTCCTTCAGGTTTACCAGCATTTATCAAGGAACCTCCATCAGTGGTCTATTACAAGCTAGCTGATGAGAAATCCGGCACAAATGAGCTGCCTAATTCTTTTGAATTGAAAGCAGTGGTATATCCCTCAAATGCGACTGTTACAATAGCCACCGCCCATCCAGATGATCCAGAAAACTACCTCTTCTTGCCAATCCTCCGCACCTCGACCCACATTGATCGAATCTCTTCCGCCGTCTCGTTCCGTCAGCCATATGCAATCCTGCACTCGTCATCCTCAGTCATTCTTAAACAGTCGGATCAGACATATGATACGGTGACTTGGAAGGCCACAGTGTGCAATCTCCCACCGAATTCTGTGCTACATCTTTTAGCTTCCACATCATCCGGTACCACTCGCAGTAGACCAACCAAACTCATTCAAATAGGTCAGTTCTAAAACGATTATCAGATGTTTTTTGAACTGATTCGTTTCCAACGTCTGTGAACATATCCTTCTGATACGGGAAGATAACACATTTGGTGATAAAAAAGATTCAGTTCTTTACTTAATTTAAAAACCACCGCTCATGCTATTTGAAATAACCTGAAACATTTCGAAAAAAATTTATCTCGTGCAGTTCATTACGCAGTTTATATTGAAATTTCATCGAATACTATTTAGCAGTCACTTCCATTCGAGTTAACCGACCTGCATTTATTTCATGTAAATTCTTTCTTTCTAATCGTGTAGATAAAAACCTTTAAAATTGTGAGAACTTATTGTCCAGGGGTAAAAGGTGTAACCCGGTTCTTATAACTCCGCAATAAATGTTAGATCAAGGAAATCCACTGGATAAATGGCAGCAAATAAATTTGCAGGATATAAAAATTCCAGGGGGGAAGGTAAATAAAACAAAAACGCACACTCAAACAGACTGATGTTAGTTCTCCAATGTCGATTTTTGACTGCCGGACTAGAGTGCGTTGTTCGCAGTACAAGATATTCTGTGAATCCAAATTCCGATTGAAACTAGATAAGCGTGCGAAACGGCGCAGACACCACGAGTAAATGAACGAGTGAGCAAGTGACAGAAAAACAGAAACAGACAGACATATGAGGTAAAATAGCCAAGTGGAACAGAATCGAAGAATTTGTGGCCTGACAATCACCGACCCGGGATTGACATCGTGCAATATTTGATTAAACATTCTGTCTAGTCTGTTGCCAAAAACATTTCAGACATAGAATGAGGCTTAGTGGAACGGTATCGCAAATAAACAAGGAATGATTTACTTGAAAATTTCACAACAAATTAAAATGCAACTGGAGAGCTAAAATTTTAATGTAAGGAACTTCATGAACTACCCATTTCTTCTGTTCAATATGTTGGACGGGGTTACAACGCAAATACTGCTACCGGACAGCAAAGCTTACAAAGTTCCTGTTAATGTTTTCAATACAAGAAAGTTCGGCTGCTGGCAACCGGTTTTCTATTCCAATTTTGCGCTCCGACTGAGTGAGAAATGCCCAAGAAATAATAATTTGATTCTTCAGAATCTCCTATTCTGGTTTGTTTAACTGAATAGAATAAAAGAAGTCGATAATAATGCTTAGAAAATTGGAAACAAAGTGACAGTGATCACCTATAAGTGCGGTCTAGTGTTTTACATCAATATTTTCGGCCAGCTCTGTCATTACCAACAATTATTTGAGAAACAAAACGTGTCCTAACGCTGATCATTCTTCTTTCCCGGGTTCACTTTCCTTAATAGTGAAAGTGTCTGAGGTACGGAGCGTGAAGATCATAGTAACTTAATTAGGAAAGCACTTGTTGCTATGATGCATTATTAACCGAACTGGTTTGTTATTAGTGCACATTCGACCGCACACAGAGTACATCATCCAGACTTGGAAACCATGGTTACTACGTGAACGTAAGTTACTGGAGCGTCCAATGGGGATTGCGACGAAGATAGTCAAGGGTTTGAACAGCCTTTCCTAGGAGGAGGGATCACGATGATTGGGCTGTGTTCCGTTCAGTATCACCGAATTCGAGAAGACTATTTTAACGTATTAAATACTGCAAACTGCTGACGTTGTGGCCAAGCACACACCTTGGAGGACACTGTTTCAAGTTCATGATTTTGAAGTGTCTACTGGGATGCCGGTTTAATCCTTTGGAGTGAGAGTGTGCAGTGCTTGAAACACCCTTTCATATCACGTCGTTTATACACCAACTATTGAATATTTCAGTCAGAGACTTGATGAAATGCGAGAAGACCTCACATTCCTACAGAATTAAAAAACAAATTATTTGAAGACTCCATTATCTGTTATCTCCTACCAAGAACTCTATGTGATATTTTATCACCATTTGCCGAAACGCTATTTGACTGTGAGAACACTCTTTAGGGCCAAGAAGAGTCTGAGCTCCTCATTAGTTCTCATAGTAAAATATTGACTTTGATTTTCAATTTGGTTAGGGTAAAATTTCAAATGATTTCATTAGGCCAAACGGAAACCATATTCAATTACTAAAACTCAGGCATGTTTTTCGATTTAATTACCGCGCATCGTAGTAATTCAATGTAAATGAAAGTTAATTACAGAGAAATGAAACTGACTAATGAGCCAAATTGGATAACAAACCTCGTGTTTACGCCTTCATCCTTAAGACGTAATTCGCCTGCAAGCTGGTGAGGTTTCCACGGTTGCAGCAACATACCCGGTTATGAAAAACTTGTTGCAGATTCAACTTAGAGATGCATCATACTTCTAAGTAATGAAACTGTTCATTCAACTACATAGTTTAAGTTTAAAACCTTGAGTACTACAAAATTCTATCGAAACATTAACTCAGTCTCACTTTTAAACGGTTAAATTTTAATGGCCATGTAAAAAGAAGTATCGGAGTTCCTCCATGGTTGAAATGGAAAACATGCGAGTTATTACCGGCTGATTTGTGTTTGTAATAAAATAATTTTGTCTTTCCATTACAAACATAAAGGGAACATATAACACCGATTGTAGTACTGGCTGAACTGATTCCTGGATTGCATTTCCGTCAAACAGTATTACTGATAACACTAATAGCAATACTACTACTACTACTACTACTACTATAGACCAATGCTACTGAAAGAAAAAGAAAAATACTACTGAAAAATAAATCGTTGAATAAATAAATAATATATATTTGACCATGAGAAATTCTCCAGGAAACCTGACATTAAAGCTGCCGATGGGAAAAACAACATCAATTACATTGTTCCATTACTCTTCCAATGTACCCTAGTTAAGAGTGAATAGCCCATGTTGTTCTCACACGACAACTGAAGCCTGTATTGCCCCATGTGCTTTTTTCCATGTTCTTGCTTGTCATTGGGATTAGTGGGACAGAACAAGGAACGTGCATGTTTAAGTTGTTTTCATGCTCGCCAGAGTTAATCCGTACTTCTCCCTTCTATTCTCTCACTTCCAACCCAATATAATCTACCCCAATCCAATTTTAATTTGCAATGAACATTTGGAATCTTCATAAAAAACGGACAACTGAGTAAACAGAGGTTCTTGCGCTCAAACACAGCACAGCACAGACAGAAAAATACAGAAAGTGGACTGGCTTACTACATTTTGGATTGAGACTAATGATCTCTCTCATGGGATCACACTTTTCGCACACCTCTAATCGGTGATGCGCTAACACAATAATGTAATCAACATGTGTTGCGAAATTCTATTTGCTTTAGTTATGAAAATTGGCTATTTTATCGGAGCATATTTTAGAATAGCCAATTATAACTACTTTTTATTACCACAGATACCAACGCATGAGTTATTTAGACTTAATCTCGAAAACCTGCGTCGTGTACCGACGCAAAGCAGAATAAAATGAACCTCCCTGACCATTTGCAATAAGTATGCTAGGATAGTTAAAAATGTCACTTTTCTTTCCTTATCGGTTTAGCAATTTCTGCAGTTGATTTAACCCTAAGCTATTCATGTGTTTGTACTACAGTAGCACAGATAGCTGGCACTTTATTTGGCCTAAAGGTCAGTATTGAACCGGTGCCTTGTTCTTCACACTTTTGGATTTCACATTAACATGAGCAGCTAGTCTGTTTCCCAGCTCTTTTCTAGGTGCGTACACTCCAAAGTTCAAAGTGTGATGGCAATTATTGTTGGCAAACTAAGGGCTTTGGAAAAACGGCTCACCTTGTGCAAATTAGGCGAACGGTGAAAGTTCGGGCACCAAGAACTTGTCTCTTACTACTCATTCTGGTTTGAATGTCGATAAGCATAAGCTATAATTGAAACCTGTAAGGCTTCTGGAATTAAAACTGGCAAAAGATTATCTTAAGGACTAAAATCATATATCACAGTGCAATCAACCTAAAATAAAGACGAGGAAACCGGATTATAAATTCATTTGACAAGAAGAATGGACAGCGGTAAACAATCCGTGTATTAAACTGATGTATTTCGTTACAATCTATGCTCATACAATAAATATCATCGTGCATAGAGCAAATGCAGTGAAACAATGAGATGCATTCCATTACCAGAAATTGTAATTCGTAGGTGATACTCTAGTTTCTTAAATAAAATTAATTATCGCAATTAATTGTCATACGTGTAAGCGTTTTCGCCTCCTCTCGGTTATTAGAGTTTAAGTGCTTAAATCAACGTTTGTTATGATTACTTTTCAGGCTCCAATAGATACCAATCGCCTTTGCAGTGGCTAACATCTAAACATGCATTGTTCTTTACGGAATAGGGAAAGTGGATAAAAGGTTAATAACCCCACATGTATGTCCATCGAGAATCACGTCTCTAACAAATAAGTAGTATTTGATCTTACCGCAGCACTCCCACTATGAGTCATCCATTGTGGATTGTGCTAGGATTACTACCTCATAGTTCGATTTATTTGAGCCTTAATACAGGTGCACTTTAATAACTGGTGGATGTGTTGAACGATTACCATTTCCCACTATGTTTATCCTGACTAGTTACAGTTCCTTTTTTTCAGGAGAGCGTACGAAATCACATTTTTCATAGAATGGAACGAATCTATGAAATTGTGTACCCCTCATTGTATGATCACTTGGGTTAATGTTCCTCTGATGACAGCCATCTGAGTGTCTAGTCAGATAGGTATCCAGAAACAGTCGGCAGTTACTCTCTTCTCGTTCAATTGTGAACTTGGTTGATAAATGTGATAAATGTGTCTTCCGACCTAATATGACATAGCTTGAAACAACTTTCAGTCAACTAACAGATGCCATCTACTTAGCGGTGGTAATTTTTTTTGAAACAACTAGCTGTTCGTAGGTTAGCTGCTTTGTGCCAAATGGGTGGCATGCTAATTATTTTTATGGTAACTTCTTTCCTCTCGAGGGGTGTGATGGGAACAGGAGCTTTTGTTTGTTTCGCAGAGTACTATGTTTCATGTCACAAATTTTGAAATAAAACAATCTCCCTCAACCATGTGTAAGTTTTGCTGATAAATTGAGGTGTATTCATGTTCTTACTCGTAGCCAGGATATTTCTGATAAAAAATTATGATCCACTGAAAAATAAGTCACTTCTAGACAAATGGTCAGAAGCATTCAGGCAATAATTAAGTCACCCTTTGTCTGCTTCATAATCACCACTGAGGCTTTTCGTATGCACGTAGAGATGTTACTAACTCAGGAAAGTGTAAGTAGGGCATTTCCGAGTATACGCTCAGCTACCAAAGGACGCAGAGTGAGTTTGCTCCCCAGAACACTGGGTTGAGCCTNNNCTAAGCGACGCAACAAATTATTATTTTTTAAATATACCCAGGATTTTCTGCTCAACTTCTAAATCGTCACTCACCCGATTTGGTCTATTTTGTTTAATCATCCCTCCCACTCCACTGTTCAGAACTCCCCGGTTTTCCGCGATACGCCGATGAAAGTCTATCACTGCTAATTGGTAATACCGGTCGTCTGGTGTGTCATCTTCCACGAGCCCAGCCCAGTCTACCAACTGTCAATTTCTACCACAATGGGGCTCGGCTTGACTTGTCAGACGGTAAGTGTACATTTCGTCTTGTGCGTGGTTTACTTTGTCCCGGCGGGGGTGAGGGGAGTAGTGGCTGTTCGTGTGTTGGTGGCCAGACTTTCTGACTCATCCCATTCATATAATTTGAGTGGCACAGGTAGGTTCAACAACCTATTCATCAATATAAATCTCCAATTTTGTCATGTTTGTTCGAATGGCTTTATTGTTCTGATTATGCACCCACGTTCCGACAAAGTGATACGCCGTCAACGGACTTCATGTCTTTGTGTGCACGCAGTTTTCCAGCTCAGCGCTATGGATGTCCGAGCAAACAGTATCAAACTGGGTGGCAATACCAACTGCATTGGGTCGTCGGCAAACGAAAATCTGTCCCGGGATGATATGTATTAACCCGATAAACAATCCCATACCTTAGGTTGGTATCATCCTGTCGAGTGACGTTCGTCACCTTCGTCGCATACGACGCTAGTGGGCAGCAACACATTTTCCGTGCGACTAAAATGAAACGATTCCGTGACAGTATATTGTGAATCAGGGCAGAATAAAGTTAAAATGCGGATCCGAACAAAGGTCATGAAGCTTGAACAGTTTCATTGAAAACGGTCTTATTTCTTTTTGCTTCAGTTCATGGTATCAGGCTAAGGTGCATCTTACAACCTTCCTGGCATTTCAGTGCATTATCAATCACTGCAATCTCATTGTATTTCTCCTGTGAGATGTATATGTATATATTTAGCAATCGTTGATAACAGAGCAATATATGTTCATCCACACAGCACACGCTATGTCCAAACCATAAAGTAATCTTAAATGATCTCACCAAAGCCAGCCCTATTCCGACATCCATACTTATTGTTTGTCTGAGGGTTGTAAAACACATTATTCGGTAACGGTGTCCTTTGTATATAAACGTCGGTCAGACGAAACATGTTCTAACATCATCGTCTCATCACATGCGTGCTTTAGCCACTTATAACAAAGAATTCATGTTAAATATTAGGATGTTATCATGAAAAATCATTCTGCATTTTTCGGAGTGCCAGTCATCAGTCACCCGCAAAATCACTGCCGGTCCCACTAGTCCAAAGAAAATGTCTGCACCTACAATTGTGAGTATTAATGTCCGTTCTTCGCATGGGAAGCCTCCGGATTGACCTTACTTGATGATGTGGAAAATGCCATGGTCCAACTGGATAATTTCGTATGCTTTCGACAGAATAGATGCCAGTGTAAGAAGACGGTGGGAGGATCTCTAATTACCTGCATCAACTCCAAGTGGTGTAACAAGTTCGAAGTACTTTTTCAGATATTCACAAAATGGCATCAAACGAATGACTGTCATCTGTACCAAAATGTTCTCCGTTACCTTTCATGGCTATTACCAATTTATACATTACACTCTACTATAGATTATCAGATATTGACACATCTTATGATCATTTCCTGCCAGTTATTGCTCCATCCCCTGCTGACAGCCTGTCCCTAATAATTGATGGCCTTAATCACATACACCCTGTACCCTTTATTCTGTTTAAACCTCGATGACCTTATTTTTGAATACGCTAGAGGGACCTCTTTTCTAAATCACTTTATCATAAACCACGCTGGAACATTTTCTCTTAAACATCCCCCTTCGGCACCGGCGACTATAACCTGATTCTGGTCAGTCCTATGATCTACTCGCATTTTGGACATTTTTATTTGAACTAAACGCACTATGTTTCGTCAGCGAGATACTTCCCCACACAATATCCGTCTGCTAACAGAGTCTCTCCAAGTTAGTATTGATTGTCTTTCTTTAAACACAGCCTAACTGACAATACAACATTTTTTACAGACTTATTAAACCTTATTTTTGGCATCTATCCTGTGATAACATTATTTCTTCAACAAGGTAGAATTTCAACACTTTTTCCTAATTCTCTTTGTCGTGAAAGTGAATGTGCATTTAAATGCAACTGGAGGGCTGGAAAGCAACGAACATCTTTCTTGATGAAGCGTGAAATATATCGGATGGATGCCTTGTGTGGGAATCAGTTTTATGGGACAGGGAGCTGTAAATCGATGTGGTGTGGATTCAAACGACCTTACAGGCAGAAGAACATGAGTTCTTGTTACTCTGTTGATATTAAACAAAGGAACACTGCATTTATTGATTCTTTGTCCGACGCGTGCCCCAGTTATATTGACTCGAGTTCTCCAAAAATCCCATCTTCGTTTGAACAGGTTACCTCTAGTGAAGTGCATAAACAAGTGGGTTCTCAAGGTGTCGACCGGACTTGGTACAGACAACTGAAGTCCTACAATTCCTTAACAGGGTGCTGTATCATTGTCTTACTTTTTTGCAGAGAGCTAATTGTTCACTCGAACTCCGAACTATTCAGGAATGCTGTCGATCGGTGCCAATTACACTCATCCCCAAACGCCGCAATAGTGAAGGGTTCCAGGTCAATTGCTACCACTCCCTTTGGTTTGAAATTGACGAAGCCGTTGGTTATGCTGCGCATTCAGTTACCTCTCACCACTCCGGCGATATATTTCAGTTTGCATTCAAGCATAACCGCTTGAAAATTGATACCGTTTCGTCTCTTGTTCATTTATCTGCAAGCACTCTGTGCATTTATGGATTTTGCTTCCGCTTCTGAATCAATGCTCCGTTCTCTTTTATTTATCAAGCAGTACTTGTTTGGTTTCCCCACTTTTCCTCTTGAGTGGTTTGGGGATTATTTCTTTTCGCAACGGTAATGATGTCTTAAATTGGGAAGAAGACAATCAACGGCGTCAGTCAATAGTTTGGGCGTAATTCAAGGTTTTGCGATTCGTTTCAGTGACTTACTCATTACTTCCATGTACGACATTCGAAGTATGTTGATGATATCACCATATCTGTTGCCATATATAAGCAATCAGAACTGGCAGCATATAACACTAACTTATTCCACTTCTTTAATTTTTCCACTTTATTCTCTCCTTATATTAGTCCCGAAAAATGACCTGACTGTATTTTTCTCTAACCTATTTCCTATATTCCTCCGAAATTGTAATGATACAGGAAAGCCAATGAGCAGGGTCATCCATGTGAAGTACTTAGGTGGAATACTTGAAATTTACCCAACCTGGTTTTTACATACCCATACTGTTGCACGCAAGCTAAAAATTCTCTCCTTTCAGAAAAGATGACTTCGTCATTTTCGTTCTGATTTGTTGGTGACAGAATCATTTATTTTACAACGTGTTCTCCTTATGTCCCTTTACTGCCCCTTTAAGGTTTTCTCTGGTTTTCTGAAGAACAACTTCAAGTTGTAGAGTCGTGTTCTCTCAATGATCACCCTGTTTCCAAGTTCCGTTATCCAGTTTAATTGACAATATCTGTGCTGCTCATATTGATGCGTGCTTGAGTGTCGAGGACAATATTCTATCTGATTGCACCCATCCTCTTTACTCAGTGATCTGTGTTCATCCAGATCCTACCCCCTCCCCACACACACCCGCTCTAAACACAAACTATTAACATTTTGGACAGGTGACAATGAAAACTCAATGTTGCTCTATCTTATCAGAACACTAACAACCAAGAATATTGCTCATTATGGTGCATTCGGTAGTTAATTCCAATTCACGCTCGCTCAATGTCCCACTTCTTCCCCATTATGCCAGTATTCTGAGGGTAGTCACCTTTTTGACTGAAGGCTTATATATATATATACTCTACTGAATCTTTAATACAAAAAACACAATACATTACAGTGAAGTCTAAGGGAACCTAAAAGAATCGTCAGTGAAAACCTGTATATTTGTTCTCAATGAAAGCCTTCTCACTGAGAGATACAACTTGCACCGCTTGGTGTGACAATACTTCATGGGAATCACCAAACAGCTAAGCATTCATCAAGTGATAATAAAATTGAGAACGACTCTGCATATAACGGGTTCTTTTGAGATTTTGAGCCCTCAAAGTGGTCATATTTGAATTGGGTCAAGGCAAAATTTCTGCTTCACAGCCGATGATAC